TTTCCATTTCCTCGTCTCTAGAACCTGCGAGTTGTATCAGGCTTAGAGAATCTCGCTCTACCGCACATCATCCTCACAGGTTCACAGATGGAGAAAGAGACTCTTTTTAGAAAACCCCTGGTTTCAACAGAGTGGAATTCATAGCTCTCGGTGCCCTCCCAGGACTATCTTTTATGGGTTTAGACTGGAGCGTTGAGCAGGACAACTGAGAACAATGTGGAGGATAAGGCTGGTGGGCTCAGAAACATCCTATACTAGCTCCCAAGCAGCAACGGTCATGTCCCAACTAACATTAGTCCCCAGCCCTGCCATGTGGCACACCTGAGGCCACTGCTCAGCTGGGGAGGTCTAACATAATTTGTGAACTCCTGAGCCTACTTTCTAGGTCCCTGAGACTTACCATGTCTGATACCTGGATGGTGTTTCAGCAGCAAAACTGAAAATATACCTGTTTTAGTAATGAGCTTTCAACCATAAACACACTCACTTTTCCAATCCACGTGCTGATTTCTCTCTATACATATTTTTTAAAGATTTTATTTATTTATTTTTTCTCCCCAAAGCCCCAGTAGATAGTTGTGTGTCATAGCTGCACATCCTTCTAGTTGCTGTATGTGGGACGCGGCCTCAGCATGGCCGGAGAAGCGGCGCGTCGGTGTGAGCCCGGGATCCGAACCCGGGTCGCCAGCAGTGGAGCGCACTCACTTAACCACCAAGCCACGGGGCCGGCCCTATACATATTTTTTAAAGCCAAGCTATTTATCTCACTGCACTCACCAGCTCGGCTCTGCACTTGCTTTATTGTCTATGCAATAGACAAAGGTCATTTTTAATGCCAAATGGAGACCATCAGAAACCAAACTAGAAAATCTTGTGGTCAGTTTACTGCTTAAACTCTAACAGATGTGCCCAACTCTATTTTAGGTACAAATTACTTACTGAAAATATTTATAGACAGAAAACTCTTCAGCAAAGGAGACCCTAAGACATTTAACACAGATTATCCTATAGTTTAGCAATTGATAATGAAGCCAAACATTGTAAATGCATTAATTATAGTTTGTTTAGGAAAGTTTCAGGGCAGAGTGCTCCACCTAATCACCTTGGTTTTGTCAAAGAGTTTTAAAAGATAAAAGTCTGACTCATTATCTCGACTCATAGTTTAGATTTTGTGAGTTGTATTACGCTTTGGGAGTCACTAGTCATGTTCGCTAAGATCTATGTGCACAAAATACATACTCTGAAGTGCAACTATATTTACACATCCAACAGTACAAACTCGTTTTTATATTATATCTACCATGTTCTGGGTGAACTCCTGAAATGAATTAACCTTTCCATATGTTGGAATTCCCTCCTAAGATCCATTTATTATGATACTTGTGAGCTAACAGTATATTGAAGACATATTACATTAGATACCATCACAATATTCACTTTAGAAACCAAAAGATGTCAAAATATAAATTGCATCGCCATCTGATTTTTTAAAATCCTCTCTGTTCGTCATCAATTAAATAAGGCATATTGATTGTAAGTACAGCAAAGTAACAAGTCTTTTTAATCAAGAAAAAACAGGATGAAGGGAAGAAGGAGAAAAGGAAAGATAAAGAAACATTGTAAAGGTCATAGTGAGACAAACATTTCTATTTGCAGATATTTTCACTAAAGTACACTATAAGCAAGCTATGCCAAGTCATGTACTTTTCACACACAAAATTATATTGTATCAAATTTAAATTTGTTACAAGTGTCATGTACATTAAACCAGTGATAACGAAAATGTAACTCGATATCTGATCTAGTGAAACAGCAACCAACATTAGCTCCCAGCCACGTGAAGACAATCTCCAATGCCACTGCTGGAGTCAGCTAAACCTCAGCCAGTTTGTCTTCTCCAGCCATTTTTAAATAAATATGTGACTATCTCAATTAGGAAATCTTGAAGGAAGTCTCTATGATGAGGCAATTTTGTTGCTCATTCTCAGCGCCCTGCATTTGCTGTACTTAAAATAGACACTTGTGCCAATGTCCTTTCTATTACCCGAAGGGGAAAAAAAATCACATACACACCAGTCCTTTTTCTTTGAGCTCACAGAGAAGCAACTTGATCCAACCAGTGTTGAAACCTGAGTAGGTCACTGTACACCACGATAAAATTCCCTAATCCCTGAGCCAAATCTCCCTAAGGGGGGCCTCCTCCTGATCCTCCACTTCCCAGGCTGACTTTTCCATTCGCTCTCTCCTCTTTCCCCCTTTCATTTCCCCTACCTTCAAGCCTTGATATGTGATCCGCAGTGGGGGCTCAGGTTTCCGTTTTTACAGCTTAGGCCGTGCTAGCTGTATACATTCCTTTCTTTCTGCCGGGCAGTGATTACTTACCAGGGCTTAGTTTACACTGGTCCAGATGAAAGCCGTTCAGATGAAGGCAAACACAGCCAGGCAACTCCAGCGGCACCGATATGAAGCTGCACAAGGCCACATTGTGTTCTCGGTGACATTTTGTTGCACATATTTTTATATAGAGCAACCAACTTATTATATTACTCTACACTTTAGGTTTGGGGAAATGGAGGGGTAATAATACCATAAGGTTTGGGGAGGGGTTTTATTGATGTGGTTATGAATATTAAAAGCAGAAAAATATTAATGAGCTCAAAATAACCCTTCCATCTTTTGACTTTGAGAAATGACTTTTTAAATGAGGACTTTTGGTGTTATTATATTAGAGGAATGCCTACTAAACAATTCCACTAGAACTGGGATTTCATGACTCACTGGCATGGTGTGCGTTGACATGACTGAAGATTTCGGCCAGAGGTCTCCTGTACATTGTTCCAAACCAGAGAGAAAATACCGATCCTACAGGCAATTGAATTAGTTGCTGCGTAAAACTTCTTATTTAATGCTACACTGTACTGAAACGATAAGGATTAAAACTTCAAATAGTAGGTGGTGATTTGGAAGGAAAATAACATTTTAAAAAGAGGAAATTCTGTGCACGAAGGTTAATTCCATACTTAGTCCTGTAGCATCGGCTAAAAATTGTGTAATTTTTCCCCTTCACACAATGTTGTTTTTGTTTCTTCCTCACCAGTTCAGACAAACATCTGTTATACTGTGGAAGGACAACTATCTCCCAAACCACGGAGTGCGCCCGCAGCCAAAGTCAACAACGCGAGCCCCAAGCATCGAGCACAGTCAGCCTTTATATCCAGCCGGGATAACATTTCACATGTTTTGATTAAAATTAGCTAATTTGTAATTCTAGAACCTATGAAACTTAAAAGCTGCCATCCATATAGATCACATTAAGCAGTGTTTTAAAGGGCCAGTGCACACCGTGATTTCCTAGTAGCTTCACCTCTGTCCTCCTCCTCCACCCCCAATTTAAAACGAAAAGGAAAAATGATCTGGAAATGCAGGACAGGAGGGAAAGGTAAATAAGGAAGAATGGTTATTGTAGACTGTTTGATTCCACCCCCATCGGAAGGCAACAACTCCTACCGGTGTCTTTTTTAAAAAACTACCTTTGGAATCAATAGTGGTTTCCATCACAAGGAATGGCATTGATTTCCAAGGCAAATCTTCCTTAACTCTCCTTGGACTGATGCTGCACCTCCAGCTTCCAGACACTAAGTTCCTCACCCAGAAATAAAAACCCTAACTCTAAAATTTAGATTGCTACAGACATTTCCTGGGGGAAAGGAAAGCTAAGCATATGCACTTAGGTACACATATAGGATGTATTATCCGTGTGCCCCTTTCTAAACATGGGCTTCATACAAGGCACTCTCACAGAATGCGCTTGTTCTAATCAAGAAAACGTCAAAACGCAACAAATTTCACTTAGTTGCATGCCATTTTCATCCAGTTTGTCTTTTAAATACAAACTTCACCAACCTGACCAAGTCAGCTGGCAGTGTTAAGGATTCTATGCAGAAGATGGGGAACACCAAGGCTGCCGAATGGAAAACTAAAGTCCCCCGAAATCTGCTACTTGTTTGTAACTGACGGAAAGAAAAAATATAAATAAAATTTTTTTTTAAATCAAGAGGGCCTCGTGAAATCAACACAGAATAAACCCCTCGCCTGGCAAAAGCTGCAACTTTATGGAAAATACGGGGGTACAAGGGGGACCAGGAGCTTAGCGGTGCTCTTGTGCAATCGCTCCAACGCGAACAGCTGGAGCGCCAGGCTGCTGCGCTCGCCACCTCTGGAGTACCGCTGGCCTGGCGGGGAGCCCGGCCTCGCCGAGAGGACTCCGGGCTGGCCTTTCCGAACAATGGGCAGGCGCCCTGAGAAGGCCGCCCCTCAGACAGCTATCTTTCAGCGGGGCTTGCCCCGGTCTGCTTAACTGGGAAGTGAAGCATGCAAAGGCGAGCGGGAGGCGGAGGCAGCCAAGGGAGAGGAGTGGGCAGGGGCGGGCAAAGCGAGCCGGCCGTCAAAACGGTACCCAGACCCGGGCCGCAACTCGCCCCGGCACTGACAGCCTCTTTACACCGTCGCAGTTGGCTACTCGGGGGGAAGCGGGGTCGAGGAACGAGGAGATGAACTGGGGAGTGGGGTGGAATCCAGCGCTCCCGGGGTGCCTCGGCCGGGCAGCTCCTAACTTTGGAAAGATCCGAGGGATGGTTCCCGAAGAAGGGGGAAAAACTATACCACCGAGTAAGAAAGCCTGTTCACCATGCCCACTCGCCACTTGGGCCCCGGGTCCCCTCCCCCTGAAACGCGCCTGTGCCAACCTGGGGTTTATAAGGTTAAATAGTATGTGGTTTCCCAGCCGCCCCTCACCCCCATCAAATCGGAGGTTGGCAAATCTCGGGGATGCAGCCCGCGAGTTGGCCTCTGTTTTGCACCTGGAGGAGCAGCTGAGGCGTTCTGGGCATCCTACAGAAACTGACAAGCGCTCCCTTGTACCCCCCAAATCCATACCGCGGCCCAAAGGGAGCGGGCGGAAGAAAGAGCTCCGTCTCTCCAGCCCCGAAGTCCAAAAATACCTTCATTTCCTCATTGATCTCCCTTTTCACTGGGTGAGCCGGTTTCCTGCTCCTTTTATTTTCCGGAGGTCTCCCTTCTTTCTCCATTTCTGCCATGTTTTTGTGTCTGGTTTCTGTGGAGATGAAATGGCTGCTGCCGCCGCCGGCGGCGGTGGTGGTGGTGGTGGTGGAGGTGGTGCTGATGGTGGCAATGCTGGCGGAGGTAGCGGTGCTGGCGGGGCTGGGGCCGGGGC